GACGGCAGACACTCCGTCAGTGCACGGGTTGACCAAGGTTATCCTAAGTCTGTGAGATATCCTGGTGGATGGTCCGGTGGTGATGTCGGACAATCCGCCAAGTCGGTAGTGCTCGGTCTTGGATGGGCTAAGCACAGGTTGATTTCTAATTTTTGATGTACTTGATGTTATAGATGCTTATGACAAATTGTAGCAATTTTTGGGTCATGACAATGGCATACTTGGTGGGGAACTGCGGTGGCGCGGACCTCCCCTTCCTACCGACGGCGCGAGGTGGACAGGCCTCCCCTGCCTCCCCTTCTGCGACGGGTGACGTGGATAGTGGCGTGGTGCTAGATGGTGGCGCGGCGTGGGCGCGCGGAGCAGTGCAGGAAGAGGTCGGGTGTGGCGCCGCCGCGCTGAAGAAGGCGAGTGGTGCTGTTTTTTTTAAAGTCGTGAAGCACTAAAGCGCGCAAAGCGGAGTGGAGCGAGCAGCGTCCGAGCGGACGGACGCCCGCTTCCCAGCATTATCGTTACATATGGAGAACTCCAGGGTTTGAAATTTCAGTGATAGTAGATGATATACCGCGAGTTGCTACGGATTATTTAGATATAAAATTTCAGCATGTGAAACCTATGTAAATATACGATAAAGAATCTAAAGGAGTGTGTATGCATAGAAAAAGGAAAAATAACGTCACCATCAGAACGCAAAGAACAAATGGAAAATAAAAGACACTAATCATGAAAGTTGCATCTCTCTTGATTTATGCTTGATAGTTGACCAGGGCGGCAATAAACAAATATAATGTTAGTATTAGGACATTACGATGAATTTGTATCCATACTGAATAGTGTGAGCTCCAGCCAGTCTGCGCAGGCGTCATCTAATCCAGGAGTCAGCCCAAGAAGGAGTGCTCGGGCCGTGAAACCCAATACAATGTTGATGGGTAGCGAATGGACTCGGTAGGCGTAGTTGGGCTTGCTCTGAGTGTTAAGCTTCAAAGGGGCTAGCGTAAGAAGGAGTGGATCCCGAATATCTTATCAACCACAGAATTCTGTTAATTCTAATATGTCCTCGCTAAGTTCTTCCTGCAGCTCACGGCTCTGTTCTTCTGCTTCCTCGCTCTACTCCGTCCTTTTCCCCAGTCCTCTGTGGACAATTGGTATCAGGCTTTCGATCCCCGGAATCCAAGTCGTTCCTGTACCCCATCGATCGCCGAGTTATTGTGCATAAAAATAACCGGATATGATTTCTAGTAAGATTATGCTCCACCTTGTTTTTTTTAGAAACGATTATGCTCCACCTTGGTGGAAGTTAATTTTCTTCCGCTTACCCCATGTTGAATCACAATCTCAGCCCACGAGGTCCAGTAGACCCATTTCTTTGTTCCTTAATTTTTTGTTTTGTTTTTGCTTATTTGTTGTCTTAAAAAATTTACTATTCATTTACTAATTTCTTTTTTGTTACTAATGCTACAATAACTCTTTATGGACATAGAACTTTTTTTTTGTTAAAGATAGAACATTCTTCTTGTAAAGCTGCAACACTTTGCTCTTTGCATTATTGTGGTGAAGTTGGAACATTTTTCTCTTATAAACAAGGACCATGTTCTCATGGATCCAGACTTTGTTCTCCCTAACTTAGATCATTTCCCCATAAAGCTGGAACATCGTCTTAATGAACCTAGCACAATTTTTCTCATAAAGCTTAAACATTTTCTCATGAAAAGTGAAAAAGTTTTTCTGGTGAACAATATTCTCATTCTCGTAAAACCGTAGGACAATTATCACTTGGATTGCAATATTGTTCTGCTTTTCAGTTTCATGAGAAAGCATATGTCAGTAAATATACTTTTTTTTAAAACTCTGAATTGTAATTTACTTTTAATACTTTGTTTGAAAATTACGTGTCTTTTTAGTGTGAAACCATCTTGCATTGCATGCAGCACATTTCGTCACGTGGGGGCACAAAAAAAACCCGTTGGCCCAAATTAATAACGGCCCAAGCTGGAGGGTAGGTGGAGAGCCGATTGACTCCACTCAGGCGAAACTTAATAGCCCAATTTACCATTTAGCATTCAAACTTGATCGCGGTGCTGTTTCTGAAAGGATAATTGTTGGCCCAACCGGAGCATTTTAGAGGAAGGAGCTAAACTGTCTGTTGAGATAATTGTTTGGCCCAGCCCGAGCAACATGCACTTTGTCTGGCCCGGCTGTCCCAGCAACTTGTGCTTCTTTAACTGCTAAAGAAGTATCCCCATATTTGGAACCCCAAATTCCAGGCAGCTTGAACTTGACTTCTTTGTGTGTTCCACAAATGATACAGTAGAATGAAAAAAGATAAGTAAGTTTGATTAGCCATAGGCCCTCCATAAATTTCTAATACGTAGGCCATGTTTGCTGCAGCTTCCGTACCATTTGCTCTACTGCCGTAAATTTAGGCGATGGAGACGACGGTGGCCTTATTGACGTATGGAAGCGGAGCTGCGATTTTAGGCTCTACGTATTAGGCAATGGAGACGACGGTGTGTAGCACCACTTACATGGACAGAAGACGGGCCATGGTGAAGAACGCTAGTAGTCACGTGAGGCTCTCCCCTGTAAACCGCTTATTAGTCCTCTCCTAGTGCAATATTAGAAGGGCGGGAGGTTCTTGGACCTGCTCTCCTGGTCGTGATGCACGTAGGCCCTCAAGGTGGAGAGACTACAACAGCGGAACAACAACAGCATGAGGCAAAACGCTAACTCAAGAAGATGTATTTTGACGATGGCCAATAGGTCGTATATGTATTTTGGCGACAACCCATAGATCGTATATATACAAAAATCCACACTTCCAACTTGCAGACTTAAAAGGCCAAGGTAACGAATAAATAAAACTACTAATGGAGGCCATGCTCCTGCAAGGGCGGTGTGTCACTATTCACACAATTATTACACGATCTAGGGACATGACAAACTTGAACTGAATTGAAACAAAGCCTAATTAAATCCCTCGCCTCCCTGTAAAGGACAGAGGCGGGGCATAAATCCATTTCGGTGGACTGCAGGGCCTTCACTGTGTTGGTTGAGTCGGTCTCCAAAGTCATTCTAGAAATACCTTGATTCGATGCTGCTTAAAGAGTAGCAACACACGCTTGGGCTTCTGTACAATCGGCATCATGGATCGCTGAGTGGGATCCTAAACCCTCCATGAGAGCTTTTCCCTGTGATCTCTGAAAATGAATCCCCATCCTCCTTTCTTAGTCTCCGGGAAGAAGGAGCCATCGCAATTGGCCTTTAGAATTCCAGCTGGTGGACAAGTCCATTTCTGTGATTGTGGTGTGCTGCTCGTATTCTTTGTCTTCGTTGCCTTGGACTGCGCCGCTAGAGAGGACTTGGCTCGGCCGTCGCACTCCCTCCTCTGCATTTGCTTTGTTCCTAGCCTCCCACCAGGCATACAACAGCGTCACTACCCTTATTCGTCCTCTTCCGGTGCAATATTTAGGTTTATTTATCTTGGTGTTTCGTTCTGAAATGGCTCCTTGACCCCTTTAAGACAGGAGGAAGAAGCTAAACTGTATACTGAGAAAATTGTTGGGGCCAGCCCGTGCAACGTACGCTATGTCTGGCCCGGTCGGCCCAGCAACTTGCATTGCTGATTCTATTTCTATCTCCAAATATGTTTGCTCAAAACTTTCGACAGAGAGCCATCACACCCACTTGAGAATGAATCAAACTCAGCTGCGCATGCATCTCGTTCTCACAACCCAGCCCCCAACCTTGACCTTATCAAAAAAAAAAAAAAAAACCTTGACTGACCAAGCTAACCTGAGATTCCTTAACCCTGGTTAGGCCTAACCATCTCCAATTCTCCACGCAGTGCAGGTGCCAGGTGCAGCAGGCAGCAGGCAGCAGCACTCAAACCTACTCAACCAAGGCAAACCCAATGGAACTGGAATCCATGCGGGAGGGACACCTAACCTGAGATTCCAAGGCTGCTTTGTTTTCCTTTGCCCTGCTTTTTCCCCGTGGTCGCTTTCTCCTCCTCCACCACCGCACACCTTTCCCTTAGTTTTTTCCCACCCCACTTAACGCCTAAGCAAGCCAAGCTCGCCAAGGCTCCTCCTCCTCCTCCTCTGTGCCCCCTTGCCGCGGCTATAAATTCAGGCCCCCTTCCAAGCCCCAATTCCCTTTTCCCCTCCTATCTACTCGCCTCTCTAGGTTTCCTTGCAGCCGCATGCTGTCCAGCTGCAACTGCAAGAAGGAGTAGAGCTAGTAGTTGCATGCTGACCACTACTGCCGCCCTCGTCACCTACCCACAACAGCCCTGATTTGCCTGCAGACCTGCCTGCGGCACCTTTTGTTCCCTGTGCCTGGGAGATTCTGTTCCCGATCGAATCGACCTTCTCGTCGGAGTTAATTAGCAACTGCTTGTCCAGCCAAAACCCTGCCCTCTGATCGATCGATCGATCAGGGCAACACTCTGCCGAAATTTTTTACAAGAAAAACCTCGATCGCTAGCTGTTCAGGCCGTCACTCTGCCCAAATTTTTCGCCAGAAACCCTGCTATCTAGGCCGTCACTCTGCCCAAATTTCCAGCTCCAAAACCTGCTTGTCCAGGGCGATACCCTGTCAAAATTTTCACCTGGGATTCTTCACCTTGCCTGGTCAAGGGGAAACTCTGCTGATTTTTTCTTTCGAACGGCACAGTTGCTTCTTGCGTGGCTTGCTTGTGTCTTGTGCAACCAACCTAGCTTTTGATGGTGCCGCTGTTCCCGTGTTTATGATAACATCGACTGTGCTCGTCCAGTCCTTCTCCGTCGTCTTCCTCTACTGGTTCTATGTCTTCTCATAATTAACCACACCCATCATATCGATTGTGCCTCGAGATTTAAGTTCTGATTCCTGCCAACAACTTCTATCTAGTCCCTAGTAAAATATAGCAACAAACTGCTCCATCGATCGTTAACCAGGTCAGGTAATTAATCGGTGAGACATAAAAAGAAGAAGAAGAAAAAAAGAAAGAAAAGCAGTGCATGATGGCCTCTCCCGGCATGGTGTCTACTGTGACCACGTCGCCGACGACGCCGTCGACCGGGTCCGAGGGGCGGCCTGACCCGCTGCTGGCCGCGGTCACCGCGGAGAGGAAGCGCAAGCGCAAGGAGTCGAACCGGCTGTCCGCGCAGCGGTCCCGCGAGCGCAAGCAGCGGCAGCTGGACGACCTCACGGCGCAGGTGGCCGCGCTGCGCGCCAGGAACGGCGCCATGGACGCGGCCGCCCGCGACGCCGCGCGCCGGTGCGCCGCCGTGCAGGCCGAGAACGCGCTGCTGCATGCCCGGACCATGGAGCTCAGCGCGCGCCTCCAGTCCCTCACCGATCTCATCCAGTGCATGGAAGACGCCAGCAGCATGTACCAGCAGCAGCAGCAGCTGCCGCTGGTCGACGCCACCATCTACAACTACTACTGCTAGTGTTGCCAATGAATGAAGTAATTAGCTAGCTGTGTGTGTCTGTGTGTGCATGTGTTGCTTTGTCTACTCCCTGTGTCGTGTTGTTATTGGGTGGGCATTGGCAAGGCCAAAGTAGGGTTTAATTTTGTGGTGGTGTCACTTTATATATATAGCGTGACAAGGACGGCAAAAGCAAAGTATGTGGTAAATTTGGATGCCCTTGTGGACCAAGCAACAACCCTAAATATAAGGCATAGTACCATTTTGTCAAATCATTCACACTTGCAACTATTTTTCTCTCTAGCTGGTGGTGAGCAAAGAACTAATACCGCGAAAAAGATGGGTGACCACAAATTGAATGATTGTTCATCGATCGTGTCCAAAAGGATTTATTCCAAGATTCTTAATAATTGTAGTCTATGTCTCATAGGTGGCTTCTAGAATTTCACATATGTCTCGTCTACTAGTGGGACGACCTTTTATATTGACCAGTCGTAATCCTACTTCCTCCGTCCTAAAATATAAGGTATTGAAATATTTAAAATTTATCCTAAATTATCAAGTATATTAAGTGAATTATCTCCCTCTAAAGTCCGAATCACATATGTATTTCCCATTGGTGTGTACCACCAGGCTTAAGATATAGTAATCTCAAAGTCTCACTGTAGTTAAAGGAGGGTTAATTAGATGTGTCATTTGCATTACCCCATAATCTATCATGGAATTTCCAGGATACCTTATATTTCAAGACGGAGTGAGTAGAAAATGTGCATATGAATTATTCTGCTGTATTTAGGCCTCGTTCGCTTGAGCTCATTCCTGGTCGGAATCGGTTCTGGTGAGGACTGGCTGTACAAATTACACACGCATTCCTAGCTGGATTGGTTCCACGAACCTTGATTCCGTGGTAACCGAACATATCCTTACTGTGAAATATTCGATCATCACATTTATATGGATTTTTCTTGTATAAATATGACCCAAAGTACAAGATCGAGTCTAAAAAATCATGGCCCATCTTCCAGTTCCAGTACTGTTGGATGATATGGCTAATATCTTGTATTGAGTTTCTTCATAATAATATATGTTGTCTCTGCTTTAGGCATGACATTATTTCTTTTTGTATGATGAGGATGAGCTCTAAAGGTGCAAAAGGTTGGCCATACAGCAAGAATTACTCCCTCTGACTTGTGAGCATGCACCACAAAAAGTATCATGGCCCCACATGTCATGTCATGTCATGTCTGATAATACTAGCTTATATGGACTGATTAATGCCACGAAAGAACAATTAAGACCAGAGATGAAGGCTTGCAGCTGTGCAAGGAAGTGGTATGCACGAGTGAAGAACTACCAGGCACCAGCAGCTTAAAAGCTGTGGCTGTCTGTGAGATTCCTTTCTAAGCTGGGTAGGGCAACGATGAGATCTCTGGAAAGCGGCGAATCATTTGCAAACTGGGGAGCGAAAATTTTAGCAAGGGATGGACGTAATCGATGACGCTTTAGTTAAAGGGGACAAAATAAAGGGCCCTCAAAACAAAAGCCTCGCTGCCGTCCTTCCATGCTTAGCTTTTAAGAATTCCACAAAAGGTGAACGGGTTGGCTGTGTGTGGGTATAGACCAGTTTGTGAGCTATACGTACGTACTGAATTGAACTGAGATACTATGGCCAAGTTACAAATAACTAAGATCGAATTTGTTTGCATGTCGTCTTAGCTAGATTGTTTATATCATTTGGTGATATGTGTGTGATGACTCGGGATAAGCACACAAGTTAATTTTTTTTGTTTTTCTATAAAAAGTGAACTTGTATTGGTTTTAGTGGTGGATTCATCTTCTCTATACCAAGGACTGAAATATTGAAGTGAATGGGAAAAAAACAAACTGAAACTTGTTTTACATCCTATGAGCTCATAAGGTGACAAGTGTGTGCGACGGAGGACCACCATACAAATATAAGTTATTTTTCATTTCCTTAAAGAAATGAGTCTACTTTGGTCTCATACTTGGACTTTGGATCTTTGTTTGTCGAGTTTACGACTCGAAGCAAGCATTAGAGACTACTCCCAATCTGAAAAAGGAAGTCATTGTAGTTTTAAATCTGAAGCCAAACCACCTTAAATTTGATCAAATTTATGAAAAATACTAAGATTTTTTTATATCAAATAAGTATCACTAAATCCATCGTAAAATACATTTCCATGCCATGCCTATCTGGTGTTATAAATGTTAAAACACTACTTTATAAATTTGGTTAGACATGTTTTGAATTAAAATGTTAATACACTACTTTATAAATTTGGTTAGACATGTTTTGAATTAGAAAAATCCTAGTACGATTTTCTTTTCAAGAAGGAGGGTGTCGGTGTTTTGTAGACCGACTAGTAAATTTGTATGATTGTCGCGCTGCTCCAAGAAGACGATGGTAGCATCCAAAAGACACGAGAAATTATACTAGTTCAGGCTGGAGCCCTACATCCAGTGTCAGAGAAGATAGAGTGCGTGTTCCTCGCTTGAATGCTCTGAAGTTCTTACAGTAGGGGGTGCAAGAATGGTGGAAGAGGTAGGAGAGTGGAGCTAGAGCTAGAAGATGGACGGCCTAAATGAATGATTCGAGAGTCAGATCCCTTGGATGGATGCCCTGGCTACCTTTATATAGAGTCCAGAGCCAGGTTACATACAAAGAAGGAGGTTTTCCCGACCGAGTGGTCGTGAGCCTGACGGAGGGAACCTAGCTAACTTGGCTTGCAAGGAATGCCTTCTTGTCATGGTGTAGTGCACGTCCAGGCGTGGCTGTCGTCATGGTCTCATGCCCACGTAGCGACATGGGGGCGGCGTGGTGCCACTATGTCGGGTGTGGCAGCACTATAGACATGGAGATAGTTCACCAGCCATCCTGTGCAACGTGGTCTTCGCCATGGCTTTCGTCATCACCTCCTGATCTCCCTGGGATGTCGTACGGGAGTTGATAGCCGCCCCCAGGTCGTTGGTCGTCTTGCTGCTAGTATAGCTGGTGGCCACGATCCCGAGCTCCGGGGTCGTGGCCTTCGTTGGCTTGGATGGCCTCAAAAGTCAAGGCCGCTGTTGTGCACAGCATCCTGTAGTGGGTGCGTGCATACACCCGTCTCGTCGAGCCATATTTGGACGGTGGGTCACCGTACTGGCTGCCACTGCTTGGTGGTGTTGTCTTGTCTTCGCTGCGTGGTGCAGGGGTGGCGTCTGACCGGGCTGAGGGGACTACTGTCCCCTCGGTCCTTGTGGGGTCAGTGTGGCGTGCCTGCTCTTGTCAGAGTGAGCGTGCCTGGCAGATTCCGATCTCTCCCGGTTCCTCCCAGGGGTCAGGACGGAGGACAGGTTGTGTGATGTTGCGCGGTGTGTGGTGAAGACAGAGAGAAGAGGTCGTGACCAACCCTTACCTTAGTGCTTGGCCCAGGTCCATATAGCTTAGCTGGGCCTCGATCGTTCGGGCTTATACCAGCTCATGTACCATGGGCCGCCTGAGCGGCTGACTAATCCATGCCTTGAGATACCTGGGGTATCATAACCCCAACAGTAGCCCCCGACCGTTTTTGCGATCATGAAGTGATCGTGAAAGCGCTGATACTTTTGTGTGCTGGATGTAGGTTCGAAGTCGTGTCTGGTCCGAGCTTCGGAGCTCGACCCCTTGTAGGCTAGTGCGTTCAATGTGGTAGGTGGTTGTTATGTCCCGTCCCATCAAGTTGTCTTGACGGTGAGGTACGCGACTGTTGAGCCTAACCGTGTTAGTGTGCTGCGTATCGGGGTTCATGATCCAGGCAGGGCCGAGTGGTCTTGTCGATGCTGTACCGGCTCCACCTTTGGGAGGATCTCGATTTCTCTGACCTTACTTGGGCATCTAACATTGGCTGTGACCTCCCGTGGTTCGTCACGCAACGCGGGGGTCTCGGGATTTTCAGTTCACCCTTGACCTATAAATAAGGGCCTTCCTATCGTTTAAACCACTTCCAACCATGTCCTTCGAATGTGCTTGTAGCCTTCCTAAAAGGCTAAGCTTGAGAAAGAGGGAGAGAGCGAGAGAGTATCTCTGAGTAGGTAGTTTCGAGCATGCGACATGCTAGGTTACCCTGACTGTCTGCTTCATCGATCCCTCCCGGAGAGGTCATGGACCTCTAACGGTTTGTGAGTCTCTGGAGCTGGACTTAGGTGTTGGACCTGGAACATAAGGAGGAGTTGGTCGTGGCTTGGCCTTGACTTCTAACTGGATCACGGGGACCTGACTCTATTCTTTCCCTATCGTCCTTTTCGACCCTGAGGGGTCGTGTTGCCTTGTTAGAGGCAAGTTTGGTTTTGCCCCACGTGAGGAGAGGCATGTCCACCATAACCATGCGGTCGGAGCGGTGCGTCTCGTTGGGGTCGATGGGTAATTCGAGTGGGACCTGATATCCTCCACAATCAACGTGAAGTTTGGTTGTGCCTCGTCGTGAGACGTCCCATAAATTGTCGGTCGTCAAACCCATCGGTCCTTGACCACCTCTGCAGCGGTTAGAGGGCAAGATTCCTTCCTCCCATAAGGGTCAACCCAGGCGACTTTGAAGCGGATGACTCGAACACAGGGGGAGATGGTCGAGAGGCTCCATTCCACTTATAAGAGATGTAGGGGCCCATTATGCCCTACCCCTATCCCTTTGTGGCCTCGAGCCCTTCTAAGGGCTGGCCAAAGAGTAGGTTTCCTAAGCACGACGCGTGGTCGTGGATGCGGTGGGTCATTCTGTGCATGGATTCAGGGGCGGTTGGCCTCCCTGGTCACATCGTGGCTTAATGGCGCCCACTCACGAGCAGTCGTGCGCCGCAGAACACGGGCGCGTGAATCAAAATGATATGGAAGAAATGGGAATGCGTAAGGCTTACTTGGTTTGCACCGCTCCATGGGCAACCGCCGCTCTGCCTTTCCTCTGTTCACTCCTCCTGTGCTGCGAGATTTCCAAAACGGTTAATAAATCTAGGCAAGTGCGCGTGCGCCCGAGGTATTTGTTGTGGCTATA